TCCCCTAATAAATAAATAAATAAATAAATAAATAAATAAATAAATAAATAAATAAATAAATAAATAAATAAATATAAATAAATATATATAAATAAAGGAATAAATAAAAGGGTTTATTATTATTTATAAACTTATTAGGGTTTATATTATATTTATTAGGGTTTGTATATTTATTAGGGTTTATACATTTATTAGGGTTTATGTATTTATTAGGGTTTATATATTTATTAGGGTTTGTATTAATTAGGGTTTATATATTTATTAGGGTTTGTATTAATTAGGGTTTAGGGTTTAGAGGAATAAAAGGAAAGAAACAATACTTAGGCCTGGCGGTAGCAGCAAACCCTAAACCCTAAACCCTAAACCCTAAACCCTAGCTCACTGATGATTGCTGTCTTCTTCTTCCTCGCTCCTGGCTGCAGCAGTTAGAGGAGACACACAAAAGAATGGAGGAGAGTTGCTGCTGTTGCTGCTGTTGCTGCTGTTGCTGCTGCTGCTGCTGCTGCTGCAGCAGCAGCAGCAACAGAAGAAAAAGAAATAGTCTTATAATTCCCACTGTACAGACACCAACCACCAAGAAATAAACACCCTGCTGCTGCCTATGCATGCAGCAGCAGCAGCAGCAACAGGAGCAGGAGCAGCAACAAGAGCAGGAGCAGCCGCAGCAGCAGCAACAGCAACAACAACAACAGGAGAATATGGGATCGACGATCCCGCTTCTGTACGCAGCTAGCTACAAAGCAAAGAGGAGAATGTAAACCCTAAACCCTAAACCCTAAACCCTAAACCCTAGACTCTAAACCCTAAACACTGAAGACTAAACCTTAGAGACTAAACCTTAAACACTGAACCTTAAACCCTAAACCCTAAACCCTAAACCCTAAACCCTAAACTTAGACAAAAGGCTCTTCTCCTTATTTATTTATCTATTTAAGGGCAAAAAAAGAGAAGAAAAAGGCACTGAGAGATGAACAGACCCAGACACTCTAAACCCTAAACCCTAAACCCTAAACCCTAAACCCTAGAATTACCTGGATAGAGAAACATCAGTTGTATCGGATGCAAGACTAAATGCAGAAGAAGGAGGGTAGTGCACAGCTGTCGATACACTAGAGGAGGGAGAAATAGGAGGTACAACTAATAATGCAGCAGGCCTTGAAGGAGCAGCAGAAGTAGCCATTGTTTATATTATTATAATAATATAAAGAATATTAAGGGTTTAGGGTTTAGGGTTTAGGGTTTTCTTAGATAAAGAATAAGAAAAGAAGACCTCCGCGGCGTCAGCAACAGCAACAGCAACAAAATAACAAGAAAAGAGGTCAATAAGAGAATAAAAGAGAGAATAAAATAAAAAACAGAATTAAAATACTTTAATATAATAATAATATAGAGAAATAATATATAAATAACATAAATAAAAAGGAAGAAAGCTTATTTATCTTCTTTATTATTAATGAGCTGCCTATACACCCGAGAAGGACGGACCCGCCTTCTAGGTCTTGTAATGGTTGTATGAATTTTCTTCTGTTTTTTCTTTCTTTTTTTCTCCTTTTTTAATTAATTAATCAATTTATAAATTAAATTAAATAAATTATTTCTTTTTATTTCTTTTTTTCTCTTTTTTATTCATTAATTAAAGAAAAAAAAGAAGAAATATATACAAAAAGCGCGCCGTTGCATCCTTCCTTCATCGATCACCGCTAGATAATTGAATGTTTTCTTCTTTTATTTTATTTATTTATTTATTTATATTTATTTATTTTATTTATATTTAATTAAATTTAATTAATTTTTATATTTATTTATTTATATTTATCTATTTAATTGCTATTTCTTCTTTTTTTTTTTCTTCTTTTTTCTTTTTTTCTTGTAGCTGAACACCAGCAGCCAGCAGCCGACACCGACTGATGGTCTGTCTATTCATCTTTTTCTTTCTTCTTTTTTTTCTTCTTTTTTCCTCTTTTTTCTGTATTTTTTTGTTAAATTACATTAAAAATAACAATAAAATATAATAAATTAATATTATTAATTAATTAAATACATTTATACAAAGAAAACAACCTATAAACGGACCACATGTACTATACAACAAGAAATACATATTGCGGTGTATAGGCACCTCATAATTTACTTTTATGTATTTATTTATTAATTTAATTAAATTAATTAATTAATTGATTTATTTATTTATTTATATTTTAATTTTATTTATATTTCAATTAAATTATAATTAATAAATATATAAATAAAGACAAATATATACCATAAGACAGATACATAGTAAGGAAGCAGCAGAATCGTTGCTGCTGCTGCTGCTGTTGCTGCTGTTGCTGTTGCTGCTGTTGCTGCTGCTGCTGTAAGAGCAGCAGACATTTTACATTTAATTTTGTTTTCTTCTTAAGACCTAATTAATTAATTAATTAATTAATTTATTTGTTTATTTATTTATAATAAATATCTTTTGTGCGTGCATAATAATAAGACAAAAACCCTAAACCCTAGCGAGGGTTTATAAGAGAATAATAATTAGGGTTTAGAGGAGAATAATAATAAGGGTTTAGAGGAGAATAATAATTAGGGTTTATAGGGTTTAAAAGAGTAATTAATATATAATTATGGTTTAGCGGAGTTCAATAAGAACCCTAGACCCTAAACCCTAAACCCTAAACCCTAGAAGAGGGTTTAAGATAATAGAAGGGTATATTAAATTATTGATAAGAGAGAGACAATTAAATAATAATAAAGGAATATATATAAATATATCCCTAAACCCTAAACCCTAAACTCTTTTATAATCGTTTAGTCTCTTTCTTCCTATACGCTGCTACGTCCCCCATCTAAACCCTAAACCCTAGACCCTAGACCCTAGACCCTTGACTAGACCCTCCTAATATATATATCCCTGTTTATGTGTGAATAGAGGTTATAATTCCCAACAAAACATTCATAAATAAGGGTTTAGAGGGTTTATTAGGGTTTAGAAAGTAGGGTATGAAATAAATATGAGGGTTTAGGGTTTAGGGTTTAGGGTTTAGGGTTTTTTTAGGGTTTTGTTAGGGTTGATAAGAATAGATTAGAATGCTAATGTAGAGATCATACTACCTAGATGTTGTATAAGTGTTTGTTGTATTAATTCATCAATATTATTATTTAATCTTTTTTTTGCATTTATTTTTCCTGCCCTATCTATTAATAATTCATCAGGTTTTTTTTTTATCTCTTCTTCTATCATTAATATATATTTATTACTTAATTCTTTTATCCTTAATATATTTTCTTCTCTTTCCTTATGATTATCCTCAAACTTCTGCACAAATGCATGCATGCATACACATACATATACATATACATATACATTACCTTCTCCTTTTCCTTCTCTTTCTCCTGCTCCTGCTCCTGCTGCTGCTGCTGCTGCTGCTGCTGCTGCTGCTGCTGCTGCTGCTGCAGTAGTTAGTATATATATTGGTAATAAAATAAAAAGTATAAAAGATATATAGATAGAAAAAGGATAGAATAAAAGAGAAAAAAAAAGGCTAAATAGATAAAAATAAATATAAATAAATAAATAAAATAAATAAATAAATAAATAAATAAATAAATATATTTACCTGTAATTTAAGAGAATCATTCCATTTATTTGTATATAAATGTGCTAATATATTATGCTCATATAATGTTTGTTTACAATTAATTGTTATTGAATAATAATTACGATTTAATCCATGAACTAATGCTGTTATAGATGGACGAATTAAATGTCCTATATTACATGTTGTTTGTCTTGGTTCTTGTCCTGTATATATATATATAAATATATTTATTTATTTATTTATTTATTTTATTTATTTATTTATTTATTTATTTTATTTATTTATTTATCTTATTTATTTATTTATGTAAAGGGAAGGGATAAGGGATATATAAATATCTATCATGGGGAAGGGAAGGGGAATTAAGGGAAAAAGGGAGAGAAAGAGGGAGGGAAAGAGGGAGGGAAAGAGGGAGGGAAAGAGGGAGGGAAAGAGGGAAGGAAAGAGAGAAGAAGATAAGACAAGGAAGAGATAGATATATTATTTATATGAGGAAATAAAAAGAGACAAATATACTCATTATTTATTTCTTAGTAATAAGGAAATAATCCACAAAAAGAAGAAGAAGAAGAAGAAGGAGGAAGAGGAAGAAGAAGAGGGAGAGGAAGAAGAAGAAGAAGAAGGAAGAGGAGGAGGAAGAAGAAGAAGGAAGAAGAAGGGAGAGGAGGAGGAGGAAGAGGAAGAGGAAGGAGGAAGAGGAAGAAGAGGAAGAAGAAGGAGGAAGAGGAAGAGGAAGAAGAAGGAGGAAGAAGAGGAAGAAGAAGGAGGAAGAAGAGGAAGAAGAAGGAGGAAGAGGAGGAGAGGAAAAAGGAGACAAAAAGGAGGAGGAGAGGAAGAAAGAGACAAAAAGAAAGGAAACATAAATATATACATAAATATATAAAAAAAGAGGGAATAAAAAGGAGACAAAAAAAGGAGACAAATAAAGGAGACAATAAAGGAGAAAAGGAGACAAAAAAGGAAAGAAGAAAAAAAGAGACAAAAAAAAGGAGACAAAAAAAGGAGACAAAAAAAAAGGAGACAAACATAAAGTATGGACTAATAAGACGAATAATAATTCATAGATAGGAGACAAAAAAGGAGACAAAAAAGGAGACAAAAAGGAGACAATAAAGGAGACAATAAAGGAGACAATAAAGGAGACAATAAAGGAGACAATAAGGGAGAAAAGGAGAGAAAAAAGGAGACAAAAAAAGAGGGAGTAATAAGAAGAAAACAATTCATAACAACTTTTCCTTAATAATATATTGTATAAAAAAGGAGACATAAATATATAAATAAATACATAAATAAATAGATAAAAAAAAGGAGAAAAAAAGGAGAAAAAAAAGGAGAAAAAAAAGGAGACAATAAAGGAGACAATAAAAGGAGAC